ATGAAGTGAGGAGAGGGGGAGGAATGAAGTGAGGAGAGGGGGAGGAAGGGAATGAGGAGAGGGGGAGGAATGGTGTGAAGAAAGGGGGAGGAAGGGAATGAGGAGAGGGGGATAGTGAATGGCCATTACTGCATGCAATGTCTCTGTGTAGTTTACACCTTAGTTCAAACCTTTGTGTGTTTTAGCTGGTTATGGAACGTTTATGGAGAAGGAAATTTTCGAGCAGCCAGAAAGTGTGATCAACACCATGCGGGGACGAGTTGATTTTGACAATTACAAAGGTAATCATTTTGTGTGTGGGCACAATCACAATAATTTATTCCGCTTTTAATTGGGATCTTCATCAGTGATAATAATGCAGTATTTTACTTCAGAGGACGATTTCGAGATACCCTAAATGTAAACTACTTCCAATAACGTGAATGAATATTTTGATTCTTCTCCAACAGTAACTCTTGGTGGTATGGTACAATATGTGGATGTCATCAGAAGATGTCGTCGTCTTCTTCTCATCGCTTGTGGCACTAGTTATCACAGCGCTTTAGCGGTAAAATATTTCTTTATGTTACTAATGTTTTACTGTTTGTATTTAGTTTTGAGATGATCCTTACTGGATCTCTAGGAAGAACTGTTTAGAACTGATAGAGTTATCCAGTATAAATAAAGTTAGTTTAGTTTAGGTTTCCTCCTGTAGTGACACTGGATCAATACGAGATGATCCTTACTGGACCTCTAGGAAGAACAGTTTAGAACTGATAGAGTTATCCAGTATAAATAAAGTTAGTTTAGTTTAGGTTTCCTCCTGTAGTAACACTGGATCAATAAGAGATTATCCTTACTGGACCTCTAGGAAGAACAGTTTAGAACTGATAGAGCTACCAAGTATAAATAAAGTTTCCTGCAGTGACACTGGATCAATACGAGATGACTTGTACTGGACCTCTATGGAGAACAGTTTAGAAAGGTTGAGCTGTAGTAACACTGGATCGATGATGTCATTTTTAGACTCGTCAACTGTTGGAAGAACTCACAGAACTGCCAGTTATGGTGGAGCTGGCAAGTGACTTCTTAGATCGAGCCACGCCCATATTCCGTGATGATGTATGCTTCTTTATCAGCCAATCAGGTTAGTAAAATTTTTGCCAGCAATTTGTTCGCGGTTCGTTATAGGGCAAGGGCTTGAAGCTGACCTATATTCACCCAATTCTCAGATAGCTCACATGCCTAGTTACCAGAACCTGTTACAAAAGTAACTAAACATTTAAATTATATATGTGAGTGAAGTGGGTGCCTGATCTGGTCTTTGTATCCCTTTAACTTTTCTAGGCGAAACGGCTGACACGTTGAATGCGTTACGTTACTGCAAAGAACGCGGTGCTCTATGCATTGGGATTACCAACACAGGTAGGCCAAGGATAACAATTGAGATATATACATGACTGAGGGTATGTTTACAAACTAAAATATTTCCCATATTTTATTGCAGTCGGAAGCACTGTATCACGTGAGACAAAATGTGGTTGCCATATCAATGCAGGACCAGAGATTGGCGTGGCTAGCACAAAGGTAAACTTAACTGACTTTATTTATACTGGGTAGCTCTATCAGTTTTAAACTGTTCTTCCTAGAGGTCCAGTAAGGATCATCTCTTATTGATTCAGTGTTACTACAGGAGGAAACCTAAACTAAACTAACTTTATTTATACTGGATAACTCTATCAGTTCTAAACTGTTCTTCCTAGAAGTCCAGTAAGGATCACCTCTTATTGATCCAATGTTACTACTGTTTAGCAGGAAACCTAAACTAAACTAACTTTATTTATACTGGATAGCTCTATAAGTTCTAACTGTTCTTCCCTTAGAAGCCCAGTACAACGTACAAATTATCTTGCTTGTATTTTAGGCGTATACAAGTCAGTTTTTAACTTTGGTTATGTTTGGTTTGATGGTGAGCGCTGACAGAATTTCAAAGATGGAGCGAAGAAAAGAGATTATCGACGCTATGAAGGCTCTCCCAGGTGAGCTATCCGACTGGTTTGAGCATCACTTTAGGATTCGGATATCATGTTGAACGCGATCTGTGGCGGTGTGGGCCAATGATAAGATTATAATACTATTGTTATTGTTATGATAACTTCCAAATGAAGATACTTTCAAGTTTCAAGGTTACTTAAATCATGATTACTAGATTGCATTGATATGGAAGGGACTAGACTCCGGAATATCGCATACTCGAACCGACCTGACCGCGTAGCTCAGTTGGCAGAGCATTGGGCTAGTATTCCAAAGGTCATAGGTTCGATTCCCACCGTGGCCAGGCATATTTTTCAAGCTCGCCCGGTGTGGATATACACTCAGAGTAACATCACAAGCATCATTACTTTCAAGGTGTCAGAAATATACGAAAACCTCGACCCTGATACCACTACCCAGAAAACGTCGACCGTGAAAAACGCCGAGCCTGAAAACACAGACCCTTCTTTCCATCCTACATTCCCTTTAAGATTTGGGACGGCTAGGAAGGGTGCACCCCTCATGCAGGCCCTGCACTCCCCCCAGTACACCCATCCCTGTTGCAGCCTTTCTCGTATCCGTTGTAAGATTTTCAGTTTCCTAACGAAGTTGTTGTTATTTAGAACTTATCAAAGAGGTGCTGAAAGTGGATGGGGCGATTAAAGAACTAGCGAAAGAGCTGTATGAACAAAAGAGTTTATTGATTCTTGGTCGAGGCTACAACTTTGCTACGTGCCTGGAAGGAGCTTTGGTGAGGATTAAGAATGCAAACTTTATTTATACTGGATAGTTGTGTCAGTTCTAGACTGTTCTCCCTAGAGGTCCACTTCGTGAGGAAACTGGAATACCTGGGGAAAACCTCTAGTGTTTGATAGAGTCGGCCTGGAAGAACTTTTCTCACTTGCAACTAAAATAGACAATTCCCATTACATACTAATTTTAAAACAAAGCAAGGAGATGCAAATAAATCACCACAGCTAGAAAGAGCATACTAAAATGAGTAAAATAAAGAGAAAGAGCATACTAAAATGAGTAAATAGCCTTGCAAAAAGTTTGCAAATTTTGTGCACTTTTGTATTGCGTAAATTGCTACTATTTTTGCATTTTACAACATTTCGCAACCAAACTTTGCAATTTTACTAATTTTATGTATGCTCATGTATGCTCTTTCCAGGAATACACTTTTTTTGCCAAGATAAAAAAATAGTCTATAATGCATGAGAATTGTCTATTATGCAGCTCAATATTTGGGAATCGAATCCTTGTCACCGAAATGAAAGACAATTCTAACCACTGTACCATGAATACCTCTCTGAAGCTTTCCACATGGATAGGGTTCAAAGGAAGAGTAAAGACACTATTCTGTGATATACATAGATGAGGAAATTCTGAAATCATACTGACTTCATTTTATCATTGGTTATAGAAAGTCAAGGAGCTGACATACATGCATTCTGAGGGTATCATGTCCGGGGAATTGAAGCACGGTCCTTTAGCGATGGTCGACAAAGTGTTGCCTATTGTTATGATTATTACGAAAGATCGTCTTTATCAGGTCAGTATGCTAAGTGGAAATGTCCCAACCCCCGTCTATGGGATAGTTACACCTACAAATAAGTCTTTTTGGGGTGAAAGACGGGGGGAGGGGTGTGAGGAAATCTTTACTCATCTGTGACTGGTCATTCTTAGATGGAGACAATCCTAACACTTTGTCCTTTTTGTTTACAGAAAGTTATGAACGCTCTCCACGAAGTAACAGCTAGGCAGGTGAGTTTCTGGAAAACTCCAGTGTTACTACAGGAGGAAACCTAAACTAAACTAACTTTATTTATACTGGATAGCTCTATCAGTTCTAAACTGTTCTTCCTAGAGATCCAGTAAGGATCATCTCTTATTGATCCAGTGTTACTACAGGAGGAAACCTAAACTAAACTAACTTTATTTATACTGGATAGCTCTATCAGTTCTAAACTGTTCTTCCTAGAGATCCAGTAAGGATCATCTCTTATTGATCCAGTGTTACTACAGGAGGAAACCTAAACTAAACTAACTTTATTTATACTGGATAGTTCTATCAGTTCTAAACTGTTCTTCCTAGAGATCCAGTAAGGATCATCTATTATTGATCCAGTGTTACTACAGGAAGAAACCTAAACTAAACTAACTTTATTTATACTGGATAGTTCTATTAGTTCTAAACTGTTCTTCCTAGAGATCCAGTAAGGATCATCTCTTATTGATCCAGTGTTACTACAGGAGGAAACCTAAACTAAACTAACTTTACTTATACTGGATAGCTCTATCAGTTCTAAACTGTTCTTCCTAGAGGTCCAGTAAGGATCATCTCTTATTGATCCAGTGTTACTGCAGGAGGAAACCTAAACTAAACTAACTTTATTTATACTGGATAGCTCCATCAGTTCTAAACTGTTCTCCCTAGCGGTGCAGTAAGGATCATCTCTTATTGATCCAGTGTTACTGCAGGAGGAAACCTAAACTAAACTAACTTTATTTATACTGGATAGCTCTATCAGTTCTAAACTGTTCTTCCTAGAGGTCCAGTAAGAATCATCTCGTATTGATCCAGTGTTACTACAGGAGGAAACCTAAACTAAACTAACTTTATTTATACTGGATAGCTCTATCAGTTCTAAACTGTTCTTCCTAGAGATCCAGTAAGGATCATCTATTATTGAACGCTGTATTATAATTGTGTTTCCAGGGTCGTCCTATCATATTATGTTCCAAAGGTGACGAGGAAGTTAAGAAATATGCATTCCGTCATGTGGAAGTACCAGCGACAGTCGACTGTCTGCAAGGAATACTCACTGTAATACCACTACAGCTGCTCTCGTTTCACGTGGCCTGCCTTCGTGGTTATGACGTAAGTATTACGTGTTATGACGTCATAGTTGAAATGGAGCTTTTGCATGACACTTTAAGGACTAGTTACAATATGAGCAGGAGTGTTTTATTAGGTTTAAAGACACGAGCGCGCAGCGCGAGTGGCTTTAGACCTAATAAAACACGACCAGCGAGTTTATTAAACGGCTTCAAACACGACTATACAAATTCAATAGATATACCGCCTTATTAGTATTCTTTATATAAAAAATACTAATGAGGATACGACAACAATATATACTGCCTTATTAGTGTTCTTTATATAAAGAATACTAATTAGGAGTGTTTTATCAGGTTTAAAGCCACTGCACGTGACATATTATAGTTGACATGATTTGCCAATAAGCTTATGAATTATTAATGAGTGTTTGAAGGACTAGTTAAAATATGAGCAGCTGATCTTTATGGGAATAAAGATCAGTTGCGAATTTTTTAACGTACTTGTAAAATAAATTTATTTGTTTACTTTCATGGGGACAATCTCACACTTCATTAGCATGCTATTAAAACTGACATTAGTATTGTTAACTTTCATAATCCATGCTTCCAATTAGTATTGTTAACTTTCATAATCCATGCTTCCAATTAGTATTGTTAACTTTCATAATCCATGCTTCCAATTAGTATTGTTAACTTTCATAATCCATGCTTCCAATTAGTATTGTTAACTTTCATAATCCATGCTTCCAATTAGTATTGTTAACTTTCATAATCCATGCTTCTCAATTAGTATTGTTAACTTTCATAAACATCCATGCTTCTCAATTAGTATTGTTAACTTTCATAAACACCCCTCTAACACGACTTTCTGATCTTTAATGCGGTTTACAAGTGTGCACATGTGACCTAATACCGCGTCGTGATTTGTTTGTGGTCTTATTAATTATTCATGAATTTTACAACATTACACAATGCCATCCAGTCATGATCGAGTGACTGGAAGTGGTCTATTATGGCAATTTTGAAACGCCTCAGTGTTCCAAATCACTGCAATCAAGTGACATTCGCGTGTACTATATATTCTTGTCATTTTAGGTTGATTGTCCACGAAATTTGGCAAAATCTGTGACAGTTGAATGAGAAGTCTAGCAATACCAGGCAGCATTGTCATTCACGCAGAATAAAGTTATATATACATTCAGCAAATTAATCGCACGGCAATCAGCGCACGAATTTTAATTTATCTATAAGGGTGCATTCCCACTACTCAACGCTACTCAAAATCAAGCTGATTCAATCACGTGAAGCACCAGTCTTCAATAATCGTCTGCAGAATGTGCGACACAATTTTACCACAAAATGAACTAAAATTTATTAAAAGATATAATTGCATTGTACAGTAGTTCTAAACTGTGTTTATAACACGTTACGACAAGCCAATATCGAGATCCGGTAAACACCTCTCGTTGCTGAAGTTAATACCGAAGGAGGAAACCCGAGCTAAACTAACTTTATTTATACTGGATAGCTCTATCACTTCTAAACTGTTCTTCCTAGAGGTCCAGTAAGGATCATCTCTTATTGATCCAGTGTTACTACAGGAGGAAACCTAAACTAACTTTATTTATACTGGATAGCTCTATTAGTTCTAAACTGTTCTTCCTAGAGGTCCAGTAAGGATCATCTCTTATTGATCCAGTGTTACTACAGGAGGAAACCTAAACTAAACTAACTTTTATTTATACTGGATAGCTCTATCAGTTCTAAACTGTTCTTCCTAGAGGTCCAGTGAGGATCATCTCTTATTGATCCAGTGTTACTACAGGAGGAAACCTAAACTAAACTAACTTTATTTATACTGGATAGCTCTATCAGTTCTAAACTGTTCTTCCTAGAGGTCCAGTAAGGATCA